CCAATTGATTTTCAACAAATATACCAAGAATGCACAATGAAGAGAGGACAGTCTCTTCAACAAATGGTGTTGGGAAAACTGAAACTAGACATGCAGAAGAAAAAAATTAGATCCCATCTCACACTTAATACAAAAATCAACTCAAAATGAACTAAAGACTTAAACTTAAGACCTAAAATCTTAATCCACGAGAAGAAAACATAGGGGAAATCCACAACATTGGTCTGGGCAGATTTTTTGGATGTGACTTCAAGAGCACAGGCGACAAAAGCAAGCAAGTGGGACTGCATCAAGCTTTTAAAAAGCATCTGCACAGCAACAACAACAACAAAAAAAAAATGAAGAGAAAATCCACAAACTGGGAGGAAATATCTACAAACCATACATCTAATAAAGGGCTATCCAAAATATGTAAGGAGTTCCGGCCAGAACCCAATTTAAAATTAGGTAAAAGATCTAAGTAGACATTTCTCAAAAGAAAGCATGCAAATTGCCAACAAATATGTGAGAGTGCTTCTCATCACTAATCAGCAGGGAAATGCAAATTAAATGCAATGAGAGATCACCTTATACCTGTTAGAATTATTATTATTGTTGTTTTTGAGTTGGAGTCTCACTCGGTTGCCCAGACTGGAGTGCAGTGGCCACTTCCGGCCACCGCAGCCTCGACCTGCTGGGCTCCGGCGATCCTTCCGCCTCATCCTTCCAAGTAGCCGGAATTATAGGCATACGCTACCATGTCCAGCTGATTTTTTGATTTATTGTAGAGATGAGGTCTCGCTGCCCAGGCGGGTCTCGAACCCGCAGGCTCAGGCAATCCACTCACCTCAGCCTCCCAAAGGCGCGGGATTACAGGCTGAGCCACCGAGCCCGGCTTAGAATTATTATTAGAAAGATAAAAGATAACAAGTGTTGGCAAGGACATGAAGAAAAGGAAACCTCTGTGTACTGTAAGTGGGAAGGTAAATTAATATAGTCACATTGAAAAGAAAATAGAATCATATGATCCAGTAATCCCACTTCTGGGTATATATCTAAAGGAACTGAAATCAGCATGTCAAAGAGACAGCTCTGCTTCCATGTTCTTTGCAATATTTTTCACAATAGCTAAGATATGGAAGCAACCTAAATGCAAATCAGCAGATGGATGGAAAAGGAAAAAGTGGTATGAATATATGCAGTATATACCAAAAAAAGGGTGAGACAATGGATGTAATGTAGCGGGAAGACAAAGAGATCATAACACTGAGACTATTATAGGAAGTGGCACTTTATTATGTTGGGCTCGAGGGACTAATGCTTCCAAGTCGAGCCCTGCAGAACGGGAGAAGCGGTCTTATACCCTTGTTTAGGTAAGAGAGGGGAGTCGTGTTGAGTGATTACACATCTCCTTTGGAATTTACAAGGTGGTGTTCAGAAAACTCAGATCTTTCAAAGAACAAATGGTTTCCAGGAACTACAGGGTTGTAAACCCTCAACTTCAGAAGAGGGGTTTTGGATAAGTCTGTGAATTAGTTACTCTTTTGCATTTCCACGAGAGCCATCAGTCTCTAGCCATTTGGCCTTTTCAAACAAAACCAGTCTGGCGGGTCTTTAGAGCTTGCCGCTTGGCTTTCAAAAGGAAATACCTTTAACTGCTACCAACCCCTCTCCTGCCACATCAGTAACAGTTAAATTTAATCATTCCACAATGTAAATATATATCAAAATATCACTGTACACCATAACACATACACTTGTCAATTAAACTTTTTTTTAAAAAAGGAAAAACAAGTGACATAATTTTGAACACCTACCATTTAATTCCAAATTAATCTATTCAACTACTGAACGCCTATTAAGTGGTTCTTAAGCACTTAGTAAGTTCATTTTGATGCATACTCAAAATAAAAGGAAAATTAAGTATGTATACAAAAATAAGTTTTAGTGAAGAAATAAAAACTGAGATTAATTTTAAATCTATGACACCACAAACAACTACTTCAAGCACAAGCTAAAGTTAATTCATAAAGAGCTCCATGTACTGGTCAAGAAGACACCAGAAATGAGATTAAAAAGGAGCAACTTGATACATACTTTTTTTCTTTTTCTGTTTTTTCTGATACATACTTCTTTAATAATAAAGAAGATGGTGAGTTGCTATGCACCAGGAAATTCATAAACATATTGAATTACTGATTTTTAAAATAATAGAAGTGAACTATAGATAAAAATTCTGTGACAGAGCAGCCTTATTTTAGGGGCAGACAATTCTACCATACTTTATTTCAGGAACAGTCAATTCCACTGTGGTTAAAATCTAGCAAAGTGCTTAATATTCTTGTGAGTTTTTAAAAACTTTCTATGAAAAAGAAAGGTGACGATAAATTTAAATGTTATTTCTGGAAGATGGAATTGTTTTTTTTTTTAACCGTTTCTTACAGAGGTACAGCCTATATTTTTGAAATCATAAAAAAAATAAAAAGATTATTGTTAGGGTACAGATGGACAGGGTGAGGGTGGATGGAGAGAGGTGCAGGGAGACGCACAGCACTGCCGGGGCTGGCAAGCCAGGAGTGCGCACTGGGAACCCAGAGATCCAAGTAGATTGAAAAGAACTGCGACACACAGAGATGAAAGAAAATATTTATTTAAGAAAAGTTCACCCCCCACAGACAGAGAGTGGGCCTACACTATAGGTGAGTGTGGCGTCGTAACGCCGAGTCCTGGCTTAAATCCTTTTCTTGGAGATGTTGCACCTGACTGCCGTGACTGTTGCAACTTCCTTATCAACTACCTGTGGATGTCTTGGAGAACCTGTGACACAGAGACCCATTAATGTTCACCCATATTATCACAGCCCCTAGAAAAGGGTGTGACAAGGATTCTAATTCTCCTGAACCTCCCCAAACAACATTCCTTAGAGCTAGTGGAGGGTGCACCTCCCCTTATCTCCTAGACATTCCCAGTGGGTAGCTTCGGGGGATCCTTGGCTTCCCTGTAGATAGTGCCCGTTCTACCGGAAGATCGAATCCCCACCTGCTCTCCCTCTGAGTGGTCATAACTTTTCTGAAAAGACAAAGTCCCCACCAGCTCTCCCTCTGAGTGGTCATAACTTTTCTGAAAAGACAAAGTCGACAAAGTTAATTTTACTTAAAGTGTGCATTTCTCCAAAAGCATAGCTTCTACTTTCTCATCATTGTATTAAGATTTAGGAAGAACAGTAAAGAAAAATGCATTTCCCTTTCTCAACCTGTCCTTTCAATTATGTTTTAAGTATTGCATACTGAATGCTAAGAGGCTTAGAATTTATTATTTGCAAATAAGAACTGTTAAAGGATTTTAGGCATTGGGTTGACACCAATGACATGACAAATCCTTGAAGCAACCCTGGTTACTATAGCCTAGAGACTGAGAACATTTGAAAATGGCTTCAAATACATGACTGGACAGCATAAAGAAGTAATTGCATGTTTATGCTCCATTATTTTGAACACATTTGAATCCTTAGTTGAAAATATAGATTTTAAAATAAGACTAAGAACTAGGGTTACCTAAAAAACAGACGGCCAATCTATCAAATCATGAGCTCTTCAATGACAGAACATTTGCTATGGAAGGTATTTTAGCAAAATGGAAATTTGAGGCTGGGTGCAGTGGCTCATGCTGGTAATCTCAGCACTTGAGGAGGCCAAGGTAGGAAAATCACTTGAGACCAGGAGTTTAATACCAGTCTGGGCAACACAGTGAGACCACAAATACTAAATAAATAAATGAATAAGGGAAGTTTGGGACAAGGGCAATCTGATAAAGTGGGTTTGGAGTCACAGACTTGGATCTAATACCCAACTCCATTTAGGAGCTGTTATCATTTTAACCTCTAAGTTTCTGTCTATAATATGAAGGCAACAACTACCCCACAGAACTATTGCCACGATTAAATCCCAGCACGTAGTAGATGGGCACTGCTATTATTACATACTATTTGAAGATCCAATGATTCTGTGATTAAAAGCAATAACATAATTTAAATTAGTTTAGCAAGACAATAACAAATAAAAAGTATCAAATATGGAAAACTAGTCTTTCCTTCTCTGTGTATTGACTGGAAATACCTGGAAACATATTGTGCTACTTCACCAAACCAAGATCGGCACTGCTGCTCTGCCCAGGCCAAGGAAACAGATGAAGGAAGAGAACACAAAGACAGGAAGGTGGGATTAAATCAAGATCTGAGCCTCAAACTGCTGCCTTAACCAGGTAAAGAGACTCCAACAAAAGAAGACATAAATGAACCAGAATTGTTGGGATTTCTAGCTACAGGACTACCTTCCTTTATTCACAGGAGAGTCAACTAGCTCAAAGATGGATATATAACTGATGCTTAATAAGGACTTATCAATTGATATGTGATTTTACTTCCTAGACTAATGGTAAGCTGAATACTGACGTGCTGTCAAATTTGGCTGGATACTGACATGCTGTCAAAGTATGACAAAATCAGACATCTTGCCAGGAAAGTCCCATGCCCCTCCCACTCATCCACCCCCTACCTTCAAGTAAGGGAAGAAACAGTCCATTCACTTACAACAAAGACATCCACCAACTGCATAGAGAAAAACAAGGAGCACACGACTCAGATATGAGGAGGAATAGAGTGTACCACCATGAAGACAGTGTTCTTTGTCTTCATTGTTCACTGTTCTCTCTACAGCATCCAGAAACATCTGGCACATAGAAGTTGCTCAATAAATATTTACCGACTAAATAAATGATTCTTTGAAGAAATAATTTTGGGCAACCTAAACAAAATTATTTTCAATGTTGATGGTTTTCTTAAGGCTTTGGAATACACCTACTATTTTACGTATTTTTACTAACTACTCTCACAGAAAAATGCCTCAAAAGAAAGGAAATTTACCAACTACTCTCATAGAAAAATGCCTCAAAAGAAAAGAAAATATCATAAACTGATATTGCCCTAATTAAGCCACAAATAGACAACCTTGGAAAAAACTTTCTATAAAACAACATTTCAATATAATTTTATTAGCAGTTATTACATCAAAATTCACATTTAAAGAATAAAGGAATGTCTTAGAAAATTCTAAAGCATATGGAATTAGATTTTAACAATAAGGAAGAACTTATTCTCATTTTAGCACAGACCTTTAAAAGTCAAGAATATTACTGAGAATTAAGTGCAGTTCTATCAAGAACCAGGAATGAACTGTGCATGCATAGTGTCACTTAAAGCAAGGTTCCATGAAAATTTAACATACATCTATGAATGTGAATATCAGTGGCAAACACCATTGGCATCCAAACAACTGGCACTAAAAGAATTTCCAATCAGAACACAAGTGCAGTGGCTTTCATCCTAGATAGAGCTATGATGATTCTATAAAGAGGCCCTGAATCCTTAAGTACTTGTAATATGATTTTATGTTGTGACACTACTATAAAACATATCAACTCAAATGCAGAGATTATGACACACTATGATAACAGGATGCCATTTTCTGGATCAGAAAATGTCAAGTTTTCCAGTCCCACACAGGCTGGTCATTGCTGATCCAGTGAAACTCTGCGTCCTCCAGCTTGAGCAGTGTTGTAGGATTCACAGATCTTGCATTTCATGCCTAATATGTGGAACTGAACTGTGGATCGCCCATTACAGTCATTGCAAAGAATCTAAAAAGTGAAAAGATGAATTCAAATTAAATATTTTAAGCCTTATAGACACAAGTGGCATTGTCTGCTCATAACAATCCCTTGAAAATCATATTAAAGATGTGAATACATACATACATAATCTAAACATTTTCAAAAGTAGAAATAGCTTTTTTTTCCCTGAAAACTCTAAAGAGGATATTAAGGTGGCTCTGAATTTGAAAAATGAAAATGCAGATTTCAGGGGGAAAAAGGCTTATTTTAAAATAGTTCCCAAATAGTACAAGCAAGAAAATTAACCTAGGCATAATCAGATACCTAATACTTACAATTCAAAATAACATACATGATTTCATTATTTTTCATTGACGCTTAGAAATTTACCTCTCTTAGTTAATGAAACTGAAATTTGTATACACATAATTTTTTGCTTATGTGTTCCTAATCTTCTCTGTCTCAGGAATTAATTAAAACCCAAAATGAGTCATCCCTAAAACTGAGAAAAGAGAGAGAGGCTCTTGGCTCATCCCTAAAATGACAATAAGATGCCATTTAGGAATTTATTTCTTTTAGTGCTGAGATCCTAATAAACGACAAATTTCTCACATTACTATGTGAGAAATGCATTCGTTTTAGTCACATCACATTAAGCAGAAATTTTTCAAATTTGCTCTAAATTATAATTTGGAAAATGATTATTTTAAAAATATGATCTGTGTAATACAGAAAGTTGATTAGTGGTTGCCTAGGTCTGGGGGTTAGGGAGTGACTTCTAAGGGATACAGGGAGTTGGTTTTTGTGATGAAAATATTCTAAAATTGCAGTGATGTTTGTATAACTACAGGAATATACAAAAAAGCATCAAATTGCATACTCTAAACTGAGTTGTGTAAAATATGAATTATATCTTAATAAGGTTATTATTTCAAAAACTATCACATGGAACATGGGATACTTCAGTCGCTAGTAAAACATTATATGATTACCAGTTAGTATTCCAAAAGTGATTTTTCATTCCCCTTACTAACAATTCAATTTTCCACACAAATTATGAAACATTCCAGTGTAAATAAAACAAAAAATTTTTATTTGGCTTTGTTATATGGTTTTTATCCTTTTACATAGAAGTATTTAAAGATGTTCAGAAAATGTACAATACATCCAAAAATTATTAAAAGCACCAGAAAGTTGTCTAGCTTTCCCACTCTGATGTATAACTCAGAGGTATGCTAGGAAGATAGCAACACATCTCAATTAATGAAAAAAAAATGATTATTCTACCTAAGACAAAAAAAACAGAAATAACTTTTTACACTTTAGGTTACATGCTAATTAAGACCAAAGAAAGAAAGTCTATGACAGAATAAAAAGATAAATAAACTGAAAACCAAAAGTAATCTTCAAAAATCAGCAAACATCTTCCTGAAATACACTTAAAATAATTTTTAAAAAACATACTTAAAACATCAGACCAGTGATCCACCTCCAGTCAGTTATATTACAGTTGCCTCTGGCAAGTAATATGTAAATAATTCAGAATAAAGTTTCTGCCTGCCATCTAGTGTTGGAAAAAACTGCACAAAGGCACTCTCGGGATTTTTTTTTCTAGTCTGAGCTCAATGTAACTAAAATTTAAAGATCAGCCGGGCTCGGTGGCTCAGCCTGTAATCCCGCACCTTTGGGAGGCTGAGGTAAGCGGATTGCCTGAGCCTGCGGGTTCGAAACCCACCTGGGCAACTTGGTGAGCCCTCATCTCTACAATAAATTTAAAAAAAAAATTAGCCGGTCGTGGTAGCGCGCGCCTATAGTTACAGCTACTTGGAAGGCTGAGGCGGAAGGATCACCGGAGCCCAGCAGGTCAAGGCTGCGGTGGCCAGGAGTGGCCACTGCACTCCAGTCTGGGCGACAGAGTGAGACTCCAACTCAAAAAAAAAAAAAAAAAATTAAAGATCATTTTGTCCTTCTTATTCTTTATCATATTGACATCTGTGCCAAAGCAGTATTTTTTAGACAAATTTAAGCTAAAGGGCAAAAATCAACAAGAATGACAACAAGAAACCTGAAAAGACTTAAGCACCGACTCCACTCACATCCACAGTCATATTCTGATATTCTGATGGCATAGGAGTCTGTGCCACCTCATCATCCAGCTGTCTCCAGTACCTGGTCATATCTAAAGCAGAGTGCATGCATAGCGGACATCTGTAGCCTCTAGAAGAGAAGGGTTATTTCCCAAACATTAAACAGAGATTACATCAACTGAGGGATACAAGAAGATACAAGATAATGGGCAAATAAACCATCCAAGATGGTATTATTCTCTATTTCAAGATAATCTCCAAGGTACATGGGAACCTTTACACCACAAACGTTTTAAATTAAATCCTGTATCTTCACAGTATTTTTTAAAACTAAGATTTGTTGTAGTCTTTCAAAATGGAGAGGAATTAGCCCATATTCTTTGCAGAATATACTTCATATATTTTAGAAAACCAATTAAGCTACTCCTTAGCTAAATAACCTCAATTTCTCAATACATTCATGCAAGATTGTAGCCTTAAAATGAATTCCGATCACATTTCCTTTCTAAAAATTTAAGGAAAAAGAAATTCTCCATGTGGCTCTTCAATCAAAATTTCTGCTCATCAACTTATAGGACCAAAATACATTTATACAGTCTCTTCTTTCCTAACTATTCTCATCCAATTTTAACATCCATCCTCACAATGAATTCTTAGCTTTAGATCATCTCTTACCCACTTTCTCTGTAGTTCATTATAATAGACTAATATAACAACCCAACAAAATTGTGAGCAACACTCCTCAGTTTTTACAACACTATAACTGCCTCTGACAGAGACTGTGCTCCTTGGTAAGTATGTACAGGAAAAAAAGAGGTATCTATCTAAAATTTGAAAGGAGACAAGGCTTAGTAGAAACATGGGGACAAAGATGTACCTCTATATCTAAGATGCTGTGTCCATTTTTAACACTACACATCTACTCTACCCTACCCATTTCAATATAAATACCTGCAATGCCTAACACAGCACAAGCAACAATGTTTGCCCACCACTTCACCCTCCAAAAACCCAAATGTCTTACAATCATTTTTTAAAATCCCATCACTCACTCTTTCAGCATTTCTTCATAACACGTTCTGAAAGAAAATATAGCATTATTTTAGTAAAACAAAAAATACCTCCACTATTTTCAAACATCCTTGAGAGAAAAAAAATATTACCTATGTAACAGATGTCCACATGGCAAGACATGAGCAACAACACGGGATGTGTGAATGTCCTGTAAAGGAAATAAATGTTAGTGCTTGTACAAAGACAACATAAACATTCAATTATTTTAAATTTAATGGTGGAGATTTCCAAAGTAAAAAATATTTTAAGTTTACCTCCAAACATATTGGACAATTCTGCCGGGAAACATTTTCAATACACTGTTTAAAAGAGAAACTCACATTAACAAAAGCTTAACTAAATGAAAATGTCAGATGTAACAGTAGAATTAATAATTAAAAACTAATAAAACCATCTTACTAAAAATTATAACTAACATTAATACTTGGTTTCTGTATGTCAGAAAAGAGGTTTTCTTAACAGTTCTTTAAGTCTCACAGCTATTTCAAGCTTGGCACATTACCTGAAACGATGAAAATGCTCAATAAACCTTACTCAGATTACCTTCATTTTATAGATAAGTGACTTAAGGAATCAAGACACTTACCCAAGATCCAAAAATAGTAAGGTTTATCTTACATGTGTTTTGCTCCAAAGCCACTGCCCTAAGTTAGTAGGTTAAACTACTTAATATAATACCGATAAATAATAGTCTATATTATTGAGATCTACTACATGCCATATCAAGTACAGTACTTGTATAAGATAAATTTCACAATTCTAGGTGAAATCAATCATGATGATTTCTCCTATCTTACAGTTAAAGCATTGGAGGCCCAAAGAAGCTAAATAACTTCTAAAGCTACATACCAGAAAGAAGTAGAATTAAATTTGAGCTCCAGCAGGCTGGCTTCAGCACCTGAGTTCTTAATTTGACAAGACTGAGTGATCAAACGTGGGGAGGTAAGGGAAAGCCCTGTACCATGGATGAATCCTGATCTCTTAAGGAAGCGCTTAGTAGATAGATTCAGGACCACTTACTAATATAGACAATAAAGATTAACTGAAAAATGACAAGACAAAGATATCACAATAAAATGTATACATAAGTTGTTTTTTTTTTTTTAAAGATAACAGAGTTTAGTAGGGAGAAAAATCATCAAAATAATAAGCTCAATAATGAGCTTAAAACTCTAGAATGTTATCTCAGCTCTGCCATCGACTAACCCTTAAGATTTTGGACAAGCCACCACTTCTTCAGCCTTATTTTCCTTATAATAAAACTGACACGTGTTTCATTTGCTGCTAAAGTACACTTCACATACACACTTTACTGTCTCTGCATCACAACACATCTGATCAACAGCATCTTCAAGTTGATGGAATGAAAACGCTGAAGTGAGGGTGCACACACTACACATGCTTTGGAAACCAGAGCAGCACCCAGGAAAGCAATCTCCAAGGGGCTACTGACTCCTGGGTGTCTCCACTAGCATATCTCGCCATCACCCCAGTCTGAAGTTTAAAAACCAAACTCAATCCTTGATTTCCAACAAATTCACAACCTACTAATCAAGTATCTTAAAGTTGGAGCTGAAAATCTTGAGTCATCTTTCCTCAGCCCTATTCTTTTTCCCTAATAATATTCTATTACCATATTCTGTATGTTCATTTTTCAGCTCAATTTTCTTCACCATTATTTATTAATTTATTGTTTAGGCCAGGTACTATCTAATACTATCTACTATCATATTCCTGCAATAACTTTTTATCTTTACTGTCTATTGAACCTATTATACTACTAAGCAAATGATTTCAAATACTGTACTCTCTCTCTGTCTTAGACTCACTCTCAACAGCCACACATAACGTTGCTACTTACACTGTTCTCTGTTATCTGAAATTTCCTACACTTGAACAAATATCTATGCCAATCCCTCACAGTCTAAATTCTTACAATAGGTAGAATCAGTATTATAAATGTAATACTTATTAGATTTTTTTAAATAATGAAAAAGGGCCAGGGATTGTGGTATAATTCCTACATCCAGACTAAAAATACTTATGAAAGGAAATATAAAAGTATTTCCTGAATTTTCCTATAATGCTGTGCTAGTAAGGTTACACTGCTCAGTATTTTTCCTGTTTTAAAGTTATTCTTTTTTTTTTCTTTTGAGTTAGAGTTTCACTCTGTCATCTAAGCTGGAGTGCAGTGGCATGATCACACCCACTGCAGCCTTGACCTGCTGGGCTCAGGCAATCTTTCTGCCTCAGCCTTCCAAGTAGCTGGATCCACATGTGCGCACCACCATACCCAGCTAATTTTTTGATTTATTGTAGAGACCAGCTCTCACCAAGTTGCCCAAGCTGGGCTCAAACCCCTGAGCTTAGGCAACCCTCTTGCCTCCGCCTCTCAAAGTCCTGGGGCTACAGGCGTGACCACCATGCCTGGCCTAAAGTTATTCTTAAAAGCAGCACCAATAATAATACTCCATAAACCTACTTTTAAGTTCCAACATCATGCTAACAACTAAATTCCTGAAACATTACAGAGAAGAAATTGTAGATCAGATATTCTGAGGCATATATTTTTGAATATCTATTTCTTAATACTGCTTTTTCAAGAAAGCAACGTAATTGTACTTGCTAATATTTTAAAATTAGCATGTTTCCAAATATATTAGAATATAAGTTTGTTTTCAAAAATAATGTAATACTTTAAAAATTATGCAAACTGAATTATATACCTTGTGTTTTCCTTGAAGATTCATAGCTAGACATAAGTTACATTTCAAACAGTGGAAAAAATCCTCCTTTGGACCAATCCTAACAAAACATATGAAAGCCAAAAGATTAGATTATTTTTTATTACAGTGATGATTTGTTCATTATATAATACATAAATTTTGGTAGTCTCACTGTAAAAAAAATTCAAACAATTCTGAATAATATGAGATCAACCCCCATCTCTCCAGCATTCCTCTCCAAACAAAAGCACTATAAACAGAATGGTGTCTATCTTTCCAAGTGTTTTTTTCCTATAAAATTGCAGACACACACACAAGCACACTTCAGGTTTTATATCTATAGATTATTATTTCATAGATTATTTTATGTCTATCCATATAAAACCACTTCATTCTTCCTAATCGCTGCACAGTATTATATGGTATGGATACAAAATAATTTTTCAAAATATTCCCTCACTGATATAATTTATGATATTTAGTTGCTACAATGATACAATAAACACCCTTGTCTTCACTTAGTCACATGATTATTTTTTACAAGACTCCTAAAACTGAAACTACCAAGTAAAAGAGTATTACAACATTAATTCTGACACCACCAAATTTACCTCCAAACAGACAGATCCAATTTACACTCCCAGTGAAAGCACACATCAGCGCCTATGGTCCTAACACCTTGGCAAACAGGGGTTAACCCATATTACAGACAAACAAAAGGTATCATTTTAACTTGCATTTCTCAAATCATGATACGGGCTAGGTGTGGTGGCTCATGCCTATAATCCCAGCACTTTGGGAAGCTGAGACAGGACGATTGCTTGAAACCAGGAGTTCAAGACTAGCCTGGGCAACATGTGAGACACCATCTCTACAAAGATAAAAAAGTTAGCTGAGCGTGGTGTCATGTATACCAGTAATCCTAACTACTTGGGAGGTTGATGGGGGAGGATTCCTTGAGCCCAAGAGTTTGAGGCTAGAGTGAGCTATGATCACACCACTGCAACAGAGCTTGACCCTGTGTCTAAAAAAGTGATAAAAATTAAAAATAGGTTAATGTAGCCAGGCTCGGTGGCTCAGCCTGTAATCCCACGCCTTTGGGAGGCTGAGGTGAGTGGATTGCCTGGGCCCGCGGGTTCGAGACCTGCCTGGGTAGCGAGACCTCATCTCTACAATAAATAAAAAAATCAGCTGGCATGGCAGCGCATGCCTGTAATTCTGGCTACTTGGAAGGCTGAGGTGGAAGGATCACCGGAGCCCAGCAGGTTGAGGCTGCAGTGGCCGGGAGCGGCCACTGCACTCCAGTCTGGGCAACAGAGTGAGACTCCAACTCAAAAAAAAAAAATAGGTTAATATTCATGAACCATTTGGATTTCTTCTGAGGAGTATCTGTTCGTGTGCTCTGTCCATTTTTCTACGGACGTATTTGTCTCTTATCCATTTATAGGAGGTCTTTATATATCCTGGATATTAATCTTTTTCATCTGTATAAGTTGCTTTTACTGTTCTGGTCTGTCACTTCTCTTAGCTTTGTCATGCAGTCATGTTTAACACCTACATAGTAAAAAGTCATCGATATTTTCCTTTGTGGCTCATGCTTTCTGTCGCTTATTTAGGAAAAAATTTTGTAACCTCTTGGGTACTCTTTAAATATTTATAGCTTTTCATTTTTATATTTTTATTTAATCCATTTGAAATTTGTTATGTATGGTACAGGTTAGATTGCTAGTTGTTTCTAAATTTCTATTCTTTGTTCTTCCACAATAGAAAAATTAACTAAACACTGAGCTCAGAATTGTCCTGAATAAAGACTATTTTTCAACACACCCTGTGGTTGTGAATGGAGGAGTTAAATGAAAATTGTGTTGTGCCCTCAAAAGGAAAGGGTATTCCTTCCCTTCACCTATCTGCTCCCTTTCCACTGGTCAGAATATGAGGGATTTTAGACTACATAGACAAGAACATACCTACGGATGACAAGGTAAAATAAATAAGAGGAGCCCGGACTCCTGTTTAACACAAGACTTTTCCATGAACCGGGTGTGGTACCACACACCTGTAATCAAAACACTTTGGGAGGCACAGGCAGGAGGACTGCTTTGAGCCCAGGAGTTCAAGACCAACCTGGGTAACATAAGATCTCATCTCTACAAAAAATCAAAAATTAACCAGGCATGGTGGCGTGCACCTATAGTCCCAGCTACTCTTGAGGCTGAGGTTGGAGAATTGCCTGAGCCAGCAGGACAAGACAGCAGTGGCCATGATAGTGCTACTGCACTCTAGCCTGGGTGACAGAGTGAGACTCCAACTCAAAAAAGAAAAAAAAGAGACTTTCCCATGAGAAATTAACTTCTACCTTTCTTAAGTCATCATTATTTTCGGTTTCTGTCACAAGACACTAGATCAACATTCTAGTGAATACAGTTTAAAGACTCAATTTTTATTTCCAATGAAAACCCTAATACTATCCTTTCCTGATTTGAAATATCACTTTTGCTATAAGTTCACATGTATAATTATGTGTCTGTATATACACAATGTTTGTCCATTTATCTACTTGCCTATTCCTGCACAAAGAGCAAACATTTGAATTACTATTGCTTTATCATGTTTTAATATGAGGAAAGACAATTCCTTCTTTGTTATCCTACCTTTTCAAAATCTGCTCAGCTATTGTTAATTTTCTCTTACAGATGAACTTTAGAACAGCCTGTCAAATTCTGTAAGCAAAATCCTGTAGGGAGGTTTCTACTACTGCCCAAAATAGAATAACAGAGATCAGATCTACCCTCCGTCTAAACCAGCAATGACAAAACAGACAGAACATATGAAACAATGGTTTCGCAACAAAGGGCAGTGATCTGTGAAAGACAGGAAATAAACTAAGTGAGCCCTACCACTGCCCCAGTTCATTGCCTAGAGAATTGTCAGGACAGGTTAGAGGAACTAAGGGTGAGCCAGGAAGACTTCATGACTGAGACAATGAGTTGAGAGTTTAGAAACCAAGAAAGAGTTCAGACAGAGTACCAGAGAGGAGATGGCTGTACAGAGGAACCTCTCAAGTAATTATTAAGAGGATACATATCAGCACATGGACTTAAGGAAACTACGAGGCCAGGAAAAGAACCATTTAAAGAAGCACTCACCTATGGCTAGGAACAGTGCCTATTCCCCTCAACGAGGTTGCAAAAACTCCTAATTCACAGGCACTCTGAGAAGGACTGCCTTGGGAGTGAGTGAGGAATAATCAGCCCTAGGGTAAACACTTCTGCAGATCTGCCTAACAAATTAGAAAAGCAAACCCAGAAATGCCAAACTTTCCAAGCAGCTTAACTACATGCCAAAACAAAGCTCAAGAAGATGTACAGGAAATTCTAAAATATCCAGTACTTAACAAGGTAAAAGATCACATCTGCTATTCAATCAACAATAACCAGGCATGCAAACGGGCAGAAAAACACAACCTCAGTTGAGAATAATCAATCAATTAAATCAACTCAGAATTGACACAAATATTAGAATTAACAAAGGAAACTAGAAGAGTTATTATAATTGCATTGCACATGTAAACATGAAAGATATTTTTTTAAAAGACCCCAACCAAACATCTAGAGATTAAAAACAACATCTGAAATTAAAAAAAAAAAAAAAAAAGCAGTGATGTGATTAATGGTAAGTTAAACACTGCTAATGAAAAGGTTAGTCAACTTGAAGGCACAGTAACTATCTGAAATGAAATAGAAAAAAGAATTTTAAAAAATAAACAGAAGCAATCTCTTAAGAGCATTATGACAGGATAACTCCTCACATGTCAATAATTAACTTGAACACGAATGAACTGAATGCCCCAATAAAAAGACATAGAGTAGCAAACTGGAAAAAAATACAGAGCATAAGTAAACTGTGAGACAACTTCAGCAACCCTGAAGCTACTTGAACCTTCAATACAATAATGTGTTAAACTAAGTGTAGCCTAAAGTTGCTTCTTTATATATTTTAAGTTCGGCCTAAAAGCTGCTGTACATAGTGAACTATAACCTAACTGGATGTGTAAATAGACTGCATGTAACCTACTCTAGTACCAATCACGAAGTTTCAGCCAGCCACAGGTAGCCAACTGTTCAAAAAAGGCAAACGATGTTCAAAAAAGGCAAAAACCAAGCTGTAACCAATATAGTTGTTTCTATACCTCGCTTCCATTTTCTGAATATCACTTTCCCTTTTCTGTCCATAAATCTTCTTCGACCACACAGCAGTAGTGTTGTTCTGAACCTATTATGGTTCAGGGGCAGCCCAACTCATTAATTTTTCTTTGCTCAATTAAACTCTGTTAAATTTAATCTGTCTTCAGTTTTTTTTCTCACTCTATCACCCAGGCTGGAGTGTTGTAGCATGATCACGGCTCATTCCAGCCTCAACCTCCTGGACTCAGGCAATTCTTCTGTCTCAGCCTCCCAAGTAGCTGGGACTACAGGCATACACTAGCACACTTGGCTATTTTCACCACTGTCCTTAACCCCAGTCTCTACCACCTCTGCTGCCCCCACTCCATTCTTTTACTGCCTTCTCTAAGGCTTGGTTATTTATTTATACCCCAGCCCACCTTGATTTATTAAGCTTTGGTCTAATAGTATTAATGTGTTACTCAAACCTTCCTGTTTAAGGCACCTCCAACCCCTGTGATCAAACAGACTCTGTAGTAGTGACTGCTAAGTCCACTCTTCCACAACAGATTATAAATTTAAGAACAAGAATGGTGCCTTTTAATCCAAAACTATTCTACACATAGCAAAGAACCATCTGATGCTTCTTTAATAACCTGGAGCAATTTCAAACAGATGTCCTTACTTTGTCTTAAAGCATCATTTTATTAACTTTTACTTCCCCCAACTCAGTTTTAAGTTTAAATAATTTTTAAAAATCTAAAAAGCAATATGTTTATTATTTAAAATGTGTAAAACACAGAAGAACATGCCCAAATAAATATAACAAATATAATAATCAAAACCTAAAGTCATTCATGATTCCACCATCAGTGGGTAAGTACAGCTAATACTCTGGTATGTATAATATACAGTA